AATTGTATTCAGAAATTATTCCCGTTTCAGCACAAACTTTGGGAGAACCGAGAAAAGGTATGGCAAGCCATTGAAGCCGGTGCGCATATCTACGTATGCGGGTGAGTCATCATTATCAGGGTTAATAATTAGCTAGTTTTTTTTCATGCTGAAATGTCTCTTGTAATTGTTGTTAGTGAGTTAGATTTATCAGCTGTTCCATGCGGAATGATTGTTTGTTGTGTACATATTTGCACTACACGCGCACACTTGATCATTTCTTCCAAAAAATTCAAAATTTCTGGAAAATAGAAACTGATGTTTAGTGATGCTCGAAACATGGCTCGCGATGTACAGTATACTGTGCAACGCATATTCCGTGAAGAAGGCGGTAAAACCGAAGAAGAAGCAACGAAGCTGTTCAAGGATCTAGAACGACAACGACGGTATCAAGCTGATGTGTGGTCATGATACCGATGCTCGTAAGGAAAACCCTTTTTTCGAAAAAGGGAAATCTTTTCTGAAGTAGTCTTTGAGATGAATGAGATAAATGTCTGTTTAGCAGTGGGACCCAAAGAATTAGCGTTTAAATTATGCCTGTCTAGAAGTGCGTATTTATGGAAATCAAACTTCTCAAGTCAGGCCTTTGAAGGCCTCGTTCGTTCACTTTTAGTCTGTCCCATTTGGGATCAGTTCAGATGTTTGGGACCGCGCATCCGCAACGCAAGTGATCTGCGTAAGCGCCAGAGGGCGCAGGCGTAACATAGATGCTCACGGTGTGTATAGTCGATAGATTTTCCGCTTAATATAGTGTACTATATACACAGTGCGAGAGTTGTTGCGAGAGTCGCATCATACGCTTGACCTTGCCTGCACCTCCATGGTGTTGCTGCCACTGTGGCGAGGCGAAGGCTAGGCTGATCCGCGTTGCTTTCACGGAGCTTTAAAAAAACGGGGTTTTCATGCAATTTCTGTCATCTTGGGCCTGCACTGAGTCAGACAAAGACGAAAGCTTGCAAAGTGCAAAAATCTCTACAATCAAATTCTGATGAGACACTGCCTTGGAGGCAGCATCCCCTCAAACTGGTGACTTCTGGAATTTGAC